AGCTGCTTCGTCTTCACCTTTCTTTTGCCGCCCCTGGCGCGCCTACCGGTTTTACATCTGGCAAAGCTCCGCAGGAGTCCCATCTACATAGCGACAGAAGCCGGCGACCATGAAGAAGCCAGCAAGCAGGAGGCGGCTGTACACGGTCTATAGGAAACCAGCAAGTCACGCAGGAGACGGCAAAAGAAGGGAGGAAAAAGCGCAGAAGATACAAGTACCGCATGAGTGAGCTGCAGCCACTGCCACGGAGGCAACTGCGACAGAAGTTCGCGACCAGGAAGCAGAAAATCTCTCAAAATCTTGCAAGAAGAGGCGGCGGCACTAAATTCACACAGACATTACAAGATCCCACCCAACAAAAGCGGCAGCCGCAGACAGTCGCTGATGTTCATGGAAAGTGAAAAGGAAAATCTCGCTCACTGACCTCAGAGCCGCAGGCCTCTCGAGATTGCTCCGAACGCCTGTCTGATTCTTCAGCCTGTGGGCGCGCAAAGTGCAGCAGCGTAGGGGCCTAAAGCTGCGCAAAGAAGCCATCTGCACCTGTTCAGAAACCTCTGTGGCGCTTGCTTCCTCTGAGGAGCCTGAATCCTCTGAGTCCTCCTCTTCCTCCGACTCCTCCCCTTGCTCCTGCAAGAGAATGCCAAGACTAGAGGTTGCAACAAAAGAAGAAGAATTAGCAAAATCAGCTGCCACGAGGCTCCTCTTCCGAGACTTCTGCAGCTGCCGCGGCTGCCGCAGCCGCTTCGGCTTCGGCTCGCTCTTTTTCCTCCTGCGCCGCCTGCTCCGCCTGCGCCTGCGCCTGTCTTTCCAACTCCTGGGATGCTGAGCGCTTAGTGCCCCAGGACGAGGCTGCGAAGGCTTGCTCCGCCCAGGCCTGCTGCTCCTCGAGCTCTCTTTGTGCTTGACGCCTTTTTCGATCCTCTTCCTCAAGCTCCAGCCTTCGCATACTTTTGGCATAGGATTGCTTGATATTGCTTGCACGGTTTGCATCTGACTGGCCTGATCCGGTTCCGAGCATGCTCCTCCTTGGCAAGCTCATCCTCCCGAGCCATGCGGGTCCGCTCCTCAGGTTTCATCGTGCTTGAACGCGCTTGATGTTCTAAACTCCAGTTTTGGCAAAGACCTGGGCTGAAAGGCAGATGAGGAGCTCTTTGTAGCTTCTTTGCCGCATGCTCTTGCACACGCAAGTCATTCAGTTCCATTCCTTCGCAGAAGAGCCATGAAGGCAGGCGGCCATGGGAAAAACTTTGCCTGACGCTCACCTGCTCGGTCTAGCACCAACTCGAGCCTCGAATCCATCTTCTTCCTTGGCACAAAACATTTGATTTGCATTTGCAAGATGAGGCCACAGCGGTTGTGCACTGCATTATTGTGCACCTTGGACAGGCTCACTGCAACCCTCCCGCTTGAATTATACCTAGAGGATGGCTCGGAGAGTCCTCCAGCTTCGCATCCTCTCTTCTTCAGCAGACATTCGATGGCGCTCTTGATCCTCCAGCTCTTCCAGGTAGCCCAAGACCTGCATCGCTGCCAGGTCGCGTGGGGAGCTATATGTCCGAATTAGGTTCCGAGCAGGTTTCCGAAAAGTCATGCAAAGTTTACTGAGAGTGTCATGAACCCCAAATTCAGGAAAACGCGTCCTACACAGGTGTTGCTCTCTTTGCCCTGAAACCGGCCCATGGCCTCCTTCTGCCGTTGATCTTCCCAGCGCATGTCTTCCAAATTCTGGCTCTCAAGCCTGACGAGTGCGCGATGGAAGTTTGATTGGTCACGGTCAAAGACTGATTGTTGTGAGCCCCTGGGTGCAGAAAAAGCACTGCAGCGCCAGCTCTTCAATTTGGCGCGTGCGTTCTTCCTCCTCCTCCATGCGGCTCAGCTCGAACTCCTGGCTCGGCAAGCGGCTGCACATGCTCCAAAGCCCTGCCACGCTCACAGGACTACAAGATGCTTTGAACAGCTGAACGATTCTTCCCGCCTCAGTTTGCATCACACTCTGCATGTATTTCCGCATCATCTTCTCCTCCTGCAAAAACGAAAAACAGCAAAGCGCTTGCACTTGCCTTAGCTGGGAGCCCATTAGCTGCTCCAGGCGCAGGCTCCTTCTGCATTCGCTTCAACTCCTCTTTTCTCAGCTTCTTCCTGAGACCAGCGCTGGCAGTGCGGGTGAAGCACCAGGGTACTGTCTTCTGTGCCGCGTCTAGCAATGGCAGTCGCCACATCAGGTCTAAATGTCTAAATGCGACCGTGCTTCATGCAATCATTCTCGATCCTCAGCTGTCTTTTGTCGAGGCTAAACGCAGCTCGCACAAATGAGGAACGCTGAGAGGGTCTTGGTCGCATCAACACGCGAGCAGCGATTATTCAGGACAGGATGCGGACATGACAAAATGAGAAGGCTTCAAAAAGTTAACAATTTTTTGAGACAGAAAGCTGCAGCCGGCTGATCTCCAGGAATTCTTCATACTCTCGCTGCTGCTCCTCCTCCCTCTCCATTGCCTGCAGCACGGGCGCTGGTCCTTCATAAGCAAGCTTGGCTTTGCGTTTCAGAGATGCCTCCCGCAAACTTTGAAATGACAAATAATTCACGTCACGATTCCATCGCTTCACATCTCCCCCTAGTACCAGCAAAGACCCAAACACGAGCATGATTTTGCCGCTGTTCCAATCCTCCCCGCGACAGAAATCCAAAGACAGAGCCTCTGTACCATCTTCACGGTGCTGCAGGATATTCTTTAGCTGAGAGACCACCCCGCAAAAGTGGGAATTCCCCCAAACTCTGCAGCAATTCTGGCGATGTCTAGCCATAGGACCCCAGACAGGATCCCTGATCACCACCATAGCCAGCCTCGAGGGCTTGCGCCTCCAGCTTGCTGTTCCTGGGATGGGATGTCGAAGTATGCCATAGTATGTCAAGATGAAGCATTTCATCAAATTCTGGTGCCTTCATCATGAGGGATGTGATATACGGAAGTCCTCATGAGGGGCCCCTTAATAACAATTGTAATACTTGGGAGTCTATGTTGGGTCCCTTCTTTTTCTACAAATTCTCAACTCCCCAAACCGGAAGGCTGCCCAGGCCAGGCAGACACAGGCCATGATGGCAATCGCTTCAACATCGCATGATGCGAACAGCCCCCAAAAGGGTGGAAGGGATCTAGCAACGTGCATGTAGGTTTGGGTTGCCTGCTGCTCCCCTCCATGCTTCTCTCCAGGGCCAAGTTGCCACTCCTGGACTTCTCTCTGCCGCTGCTCCTCCTTCTGCATCATGTCCAGGAACATAGCCTGGACCAGGATGGTTTGCCCGGCAGAGAGCGGAGTCATTCACACAAATTCGCCGAGCATTTAATTCCACAGCCACAAAATGTGAAGATACCTGAGGCAGGCTGAGTGTCATGTTCCAAGCCATCGGTCTCAGCATGCTATGATCTTCGCTTGACCCATCCAAGGAATTCGTGGAGTCACAGGCTGCAAGGAGAGAAAGATTGTCAGATCTCAGGGGGCTGAAGCCAAATCACGCCTCAAGGCGCTTGTTCGTCTCTTCCACTTCCCGCTGGCGATACCTTCTCTTCGTGATTTCTCCGCTTGCTTTGCTCGATCACTTTATGCAAAGCGCGAGTGCAGAGCTAACCTGATGCGGCCAGGGAGCTCCAGCTTGGCCATGTCCCTCAACTCCCGTGCACGGAGCTGGGGCTCCTTGTCTCAAGGAGACCGAGACTTGTGAGGGACAGTGCTTGGGGTAGGAAATCTACTCGACCTTCCCTTTGGGAGCGGGCTTCTCATGGCTTCAGTAGATTGCTGCTGCTCTCTCCCAGCTGTCCAACCCGTCCTGCGCATGGAGAAGTTCCCAATGCCTGACCTCATAGGACCTGAGGACCGCACTCGAAGCAACTCACTCACCGCCCGCTGAGGGCTTCATAGGCTGCTATGATGAGCATGCTTCAAAAAGGCACGAAAAAAAAAAACATGAGGTGGAGCCAGAATTGAAACCATCTTCTGCTTTGAATGGGCTCTTGTTTGTGGCACTGAATCACATCAGGATGCAGGAGCACGGCACTTGCTGTTCACTTGAGGATTTCTTCTCTTCATCTACACTCCGGAGCCTGAACCTGGTGCAAAGGCACATGAAATCCTCATCCGCCATGGCCGCGGTCTCTGCAGCTTCAAGGTTGGCGTTCCACTCCTCCACCTACCGCACAGCACATGCTGCTGAAGGCATTGCGCAGTCGCAGCTTTATTCTGTCTCTCTTCGTAGCACCTGGGGTTGCCAGAGAACTCTGGGCTTGACACTTGACACCGACTTGTTGGCAGCAGTTCTCAGTGGCCTCGCGTTGTTCGCGCTCTGCTCTCTCCATGCAATCTTGCTCGTACTGCTCCGCCAGCAGCAAGGCCTCCTGCAAAAAGGCCTCGCGGGCGTCACCACTACTCCCACAGCTTATGGCTCCAAATAGATTCCCATGTCGAAAAGGCTTCAATTCAGGGTGCCGATGGGTAGCGTGCGTATTCAGCTTCCTGCCTCGTGCTGACGTCGCGGATCTTCGTGGAACATGCACTCGCGCTCTTCTGCTTCGCGTGCCGCCCAATAAATTTCGGATTTCTTCTGCCTGTACTCCTCCCAGCGCATCCTGAGTGCAGCAGCACACAGCAGCATGCCAGTATGCCTGAACTTGGAAAGTGCCACCTACTTGCAGGTGAGATACTGTCTAAGCTCTTCTGCCTCCATCTGCTCCCGAGTCTGGAGTGCCTCCTTCTTCTCCTGCATGGTTCCTTAAGAGCAAGTGAAGAAGACCGAAGTCATGAAGATGCCATCAACCCCAACCAACATCTCAAACAGGGCACGCTCGAATGCGTCCCGTTTCTCCCGCAGCTCTTCCACAAAGGGGCTGGTTATCGAGCCTGGCAATCCCGGGTCTATGAGCAACAGCCCTTTGAGCAGAGGCAGGTTGTAGAGTGTGGGTGAGAAGGGGAAACATACAAGGCAGAGAAAAAGGGACGAACGGGAGATGAACATGAAAACAGCAAGCAAGACAGAAGAGGCATGACAGACAGAAAAGGAAAAAAGGGGACAAGAGAGTTCACAGAGGACCGTGCTGCAGCTAGCATTTGCCAGCAATAAGAAACATGTCTAGGGCACTGATGCACTTGTCCAACTCTGCAGCTTCAGTGTCGGGCAATGGTATCCTCAGACGCTGTGGCTGTCACATTGTGGCATGCTCTCTGCTTCTTGTGCAGTCCATACCACATGCATGCCAGGCTTGAAATGCGCATTCATTAGCAGGATTTGTTTCGCTGCATCCGCTTGGCAGCAAGTGGCCTGAGCGACTAAACTTGCCAAGGCTCAACTTCAGTCCAGTGCATTCCTTCTCCACAGCCTGTTTTATTGGTGTAAGTGCGCGGAGCAGGGTGCAGGAGGGCGGGGGCGTTGATGAAGCAACACGAACTCTTGTGAGAAGGCAATGCTGCTTTGATGCACTTTGCACAATGCTCCTTCATGTTTGTGCCAGGGCATTGCCGCATGTGACTGACAGACACCAGGGTCCCAAGCAAGCCACATCACCAACTCACACCGGGTCGGTGCTTGCCTGCAGAGGGTCGTTCCAAAAGGCAGCGTCGTGGGCATCTTCCTCTTCCCTGGCCTCTTCCTGCGGAACTCCCAGTCACGTGGTCATTTGGAGGGCACGGCCAGTTGCTGGTGGCAATCGTCCACACGCCTCCATTTGTCGGTGGAAGTTACCACGCTCCTCCTCCTCTCGCAGTCGCTCTTGCCTTAAAGGGACCCCACTAACGTCCTGAAAATGAGACTGAAGCGATTGCCAGTGCTGCCGGGGTGCTGCATGGCTGTTTCGAAGTAAGCCTTGTTAAGAATTTGATCGTCTGATTCGGTCTTCACAGCGCCACCTCAGGTTAGGAACGAGTCCACGCAATTTGGACTTGGACTGTGCCATCAGGCGCGTGCCAAGGATAACGTACGCGTTGAAGACCATGGTGCCGCTGATGATGGTCACGATGATTAGCACAAGGACATCAATTAGTGTCCCTGCCAGCAGGCCAGACGCTGAATGCAAGACCCTTGCAGTGTTGCATAGAATGGCAGACCTGTTGCGTCGATGGTGCTCTGGTACTGGCTGGCTTTATTGTGTTTAGAGACCATCTCCTGGCAGGCACATCCATCTGGCCGAGTGCACATTGCGGATTACAGGGGATTGGTCCTTGAAGGCAGCCATGAAGGTCAGGAACGCCATACATCCCGTAAGGACGGACTCCTTGCAAGGAAGGACACACTGCTCCAGCAAATGATGAGCACTGACGCAAAGGGCTCCTCGATGTTCAGTAGCCTCGCAGTGTACGGGAAGAGGAGGATCAAGGCCTGAGCTTCATTTTCAAATGTTTCGCTGCAAATGGAGAAGCACCAGCTGGTGTCCAAGTAGCAGCGAAGTTGATCATGAAAACCAGGGACTGAGCAGCAGCCCCGAAAGGTGGAAACTCCACAGCCATCAGGGCAGAAAGCATCAGAGCGAATTGACGGAAGAAGCTGCCTTCCGCAAAATGACGAAAATGTGAAGTAAACGCAATGAGGCCCCTTTCCCCTGTGCTGCCAAAGGGCTGAAGATCAGGACCCAGCCGTATGTTAAGTAGCTGCCATCCAGCTGGTCCGGCCAGGAACCCTTCTCAGTGAAACGCTCCTTGTTTTTCCACTTCAGCTTGATCTCCTTCAGGTTGACCTCATCCTGATTCACACAGATGCAGCTCAGATGCATCTTTGAGACCCTTCCCTAAACCCCTTCCCTTCCCCCTTCCCCTCGCTGTCGCCTCCAAAGTTGCTTTGCGCCGCCTCATGTCCGCCAGCTCTTTGTTCAGGTCCTTCCCATTCTTGTCCGTGCTGTCTGGTACCACAGCGGCTCCACGTTGCTTCATCTTGGCCTGCAAGGATCCCAAGATATTCTATATATACATACACTATATAGAGGCTGTGTCCACGACATCACGAAGTAGACACTGAGACTGCAAGCAAACTAACTTGTCGAGCCATACCGAGTGGCCTCCATCAGCATTCGCTTTTCTGCCGCTTCGTTGTCCCTGGCCGTCGGGTAGGTGCGGACTGCCACAATATTGCCTTGCAGACAGGATTTCGCAATGTTCCTGAACTTGACATTAAACCCACAACTCTGTACAGCTCTTGCAGCCACTGATGCTCAGAACACGTATTCGAACTGCTTCAACCCATCCCCTGGCAGGGACAAAGATGCAAATCGTCGCTTGCACTCTGCTCTCTTGGGCAGCCTCATATTCTCCACGCTCATCTCAACGGCAGCAACATAGATGGGAATGCGGTCTCCTCAAGCACAGGAGTGAATACCCATGCCGCACATAGAATGCAGTCTCCACTTCCCTGATAAATCAGCCAAGCTTCTTGTTTTGGTTCCTGCTTGCCAGTGATAGCTCCAGTAGAGGAATACATTGAGCATTGCGAAGCCAGAACCAAAAACAAACCAGCCCATCGTTGCAATTCCGAAGAGTAGCTGGTAGTTCTCATCAGCCAGGCTGCCTTGCACATCCATGCAGATCCCAACAATAAGGTGCTGGCTGCAGTGAGAAAAGTGGAGCTTAACGGGGACCAAGGCCAAAAGCGTGAACTATATTTGCCAAGCCAAGTGGCATTCAATATCTTGAGATGCCACCAGTACTTGAGATCCATCTGCCATAGACTTGCACTGGAATGGAATGCTGAGCTGCGTCATGTGCTGCTGGATAAAGAGAAAAAGGATGGTCAGCATCGACCTGCCCCAGGCGTTCAGCAGCAGCCATCCTTGCACTTCCTGGGTTTGGCCAAGGACAACATGTTGTTGCTACTTGCTGTCAATTCCCATCGGCTTTGGCTTTGGGCTGTATCTTCAGGAGTGCAATGGGGAAAATGCTCTTTCCGGGAAAAAACGGACTGGCACGCGGCACTGACTGGAACAGTTGCCATCATCAGCAAGATCCATTTTAACGCTGTTTGCTGCTTTGTTGCCCAGATGGGTCCGTCGCTCTTTTGCATTAGCCTATCACAGCTTGTCCTGCGTGACGCTTGCTGCGATCTGTTGTCCACGGAAAGAAAAGACAGGCTAGGCGAGATCCAAGTGTGGTTGCAAAACTGTGAATTGCAGATCCAACATGACCCCACTACCACTAAGCCATAACCGAATTCACTGCAGGGAGCCCTGGCTCCGAAAGTTCATACAAGCCGCACGGTATTGTGGGTCGCCACGGCTCTGGCGAAAGGAGAGGAACTTCACCACCAGAAAAGAGCATGTGATGGGGAACATCAGGAGGTAAGGCATTACAGCGAACCTCATGGGTGACCAAGACACTTTACAGCACCAAACATCCAAGAGCACAAGCTGAAGCCCAGCAGCATGATCCAGTTCTGCCAATACGGGCTTGACACGCTGCAGTCTGGTTGAAAGAAGTTGAAGTTGAAGGACAGGTTGGCGATCACCTCCATGATCCTTGTGAAGAGTTCCTTTGCTGACTGCTGGCACTGCTCTGCAACCCATTCTATTCCAAACTCACTGCCATGCACACACACACACACTTGCCAACTTTTCCCGAGAAAGACTCTGGCCACTCCAGGTCTATGCGCCCGATCCCATTGAAGGACTGCATGATGGACAGGGACATCGTGATGAGCCGAACACCAGAAGCGCTCAGCTCCTGAGCACCACGATCATACTCAAGCCGCTGTACTGCCTAGTCAGAGACATCAGACAGCTCCCGATGCGCGTTTTGTTTCGGCTGAGTATCTTTGGCATCTGAAGTGTCCAGCTCTGCTTCCTCATCGCCTTTCTCTGTCCGAGGAGCTCGAAAAAGGCAGTAGATCCTCAGGCGCCAGCCACCCACCAAGCCAAGAGAGAGAGAGAAAGAGCCTGCTCTTGCGGTTTCCCCTCCGTGTGCTCATGAGATGCGGAGATGGCACGGGAGCTTACAATTTGCCAAGGCTTCCTGCACATCCTCAGATGGTAATGCAAGCCGCGACAAGACGCGCAGACACCATCGGTCTCCCGGGCAAGCCAACATCTGTCCAAATGACACCGAGCCGCCTGTTCCTTGGAACAGGTTTGAACAACTCAGGAGATCTCAGAAGAGAACAAGAGGAAACTAAGCGAAGCGCCGTGTCTGCTCGGAGGTGCTTGCCATTGAGGACGAGGAGTCGCCAAGAGTGTGAGATGCCCATCCGAGAGGCAGGCGAGCCTGGCCGGACACCAGCTACGTGGATGGTTCGATCCTTGTCCACGCGAAAGACAAAGCCGAGGTCTTTGTTCTGGAAGTAAGGCCAGTAGCCTGCCAACATTGCTGCTTTCCCTGGCACTTCAAAGCTGCGCCTGTCTTCATCCCTGGCTGAGCCGGGTAGCCGGCAATGTCTTGCTTACGGATGATCAGAGTTACACGCTTGAAGCGGAACTTGTCAATGATTTTCACCAGTGGATTTCCACCACCTGCACCTGTGCACGAGGAGGGAAGATCAAGCTTGAGGATGGCATAGCTGATTGAAGGGATGCAGGTTCAGTGCTGCGCACAGCGACGTAGGAAGAACGTCTCAAGACCCAACCTCCACCTCCTCCTAAGGCTGCCTTCATGCGGTCCACAATTTTTCCTGAGAACGCTGCCAGAAAGAAAAGCTCGCCACAAGTCTGCAGCATCTTCTTCAGACACAAACTTCCCAACCCAGCGGCGCGCAATGTACAGCTTGATCTGGCCCTTGAAGATGGGATCAGAGAGCATCTTCCTGAGCAATTCAAATCCCACTATGTATATGGGCAGATTCGCACGTGAGAGTTTAGGGATTGTGGTTTACGGGCTTGTTTGGGGTGCTATAGGGCATACACGCCCCCAAGTGACAAGGACTCCAAAATGGGGCCTTTTCAAAGGACGGTAGTTTTTTTGCAGGGCCCCATTTGGGCGTTTACTTCTTTCACCACCGACAAGGTCTTCACACTGATCTGTTTCTGTCAAGCCTCAAGTAAAGGAGAGAAAGGAAGAAGGCTCCAAACGTTCCAAAGACGCCCATTGCGCTAAACATCAATGTGCCGATCACCTGTTCCTCGCCGCATCGGATGCATGCGTTCGTTTCCGGATCCTGCGGCGGCAAGTGCTCTGAACGTCAGCCACTGGACAGCAGACCCTGCAGGGTCCTGATAATACTTCCAAACGCAGCTGCCGCAGTTTGCGCCTTCGTAGCCAGTGCTGCACTGATTCCCCTCGGATGTTGGATTCCATGCGCAGCAGCCCATACTGCTGCAAGCACTGCGCAAGACTTGCACAAAACTTTTCCAAACAAGCTGCGTTCAAACATGCACTGGCAGGCAGGCACGATTCAATCACAGGCTTATACTCAGTCACGCCCGGGTTTTGTATGGTGGTGGCTGCTTGAGCCTTGGAGATGTAGAAATATGGCTTTGCCAGCGGCAGCATCGTACCACCAGGGCAGTAGAGCATGCAAAGCCGATAGTCAAAGGAGCCTGCCACCTTCGGCACGCAAACTTGGCTGATTGGCTCGTCACACAAGGTTCCCTGAACATCGATGGTGCATGGCTCGTCGTCCATTGCCTGTGTCCTTAATCAAAGAGGCTCAGGGCTAGGGTGCTGGAAAAATATGAGCTGGACAAGCTCAACTTCTGGCAAGAATCGTGAAGTCTTCAGTGTTGCAGGCCACGCAGGCATAGCCAGGCTTGCCATATGTCTGAGTGTCGTCATAGACCGGGGAATAGTACCCCTTTTTGCAACGGCAGTCTTCCAGAGACACGGCTGGCGGAACGGAAAAGGTATTGGCCGGACATGCTAGACAAGTGGTCTGCCCAACCTGCCCAGCCAAAAACACAAAAGCATATGCACACTCCGCTCGACATGAGCACAGGATTTGTTTTCCTGTGTAAATTATCGGCCTGATCCTGGTAGGACGTAGAGGGGCAGAAAGTGCACCCCAGTGGCCACTGGTCGGAGAATTGGGTCGAGTAGGTGCCTTTCGGACAAGGCTCACATTGATCACTGTCCTTGCAGGGGGGTGAACTTAACAACGCACAAAACACCTCAAACTTGTTGTTGCTGCGTCGCTGCTTTAGAGCCTTGCTTGCGGACTCGGAGCAACTTCCAATTTGCCTCGTGAACTCAGACCTCATGCTGCCCTTCAATCGCTGCTTTGTGCCGAGTGTTTTAAATCCTCTCACCCTTCCTGCTTGGTGATTACTTGTAGGGCGGCTGCAGAGCCTCAGACTCGCTCAGTCGATCATGAACATTACTCAACATTCCTTTAGCAAAGCCAGGGGCCGCTAGTTACCTCTTATGCGACTGGGCTCAAGCATTAAAAGGTAACAGCAAGCCGAAGAAACAGGACCGGTCCCAAGGGCAAGACAGCTGCGACATGATATCATGCGGCATCTGCTGAAATTGATTCCCCGGCTCCTCGCTTGTTCTATAGTACCCCTCCTTGTCAGGAGGCGCCAGTGGTCAGAGACCCGTCTCAAAGCTTGAGCACACTCTTGCCCTGTCCTGCTCGCAGGTTGAGATCTGCGTTGCCAAAGTGGGCTTGTTCGCCTCCTCAAGCGATCCCACCTTCAAGGTCACGGCTACCTCAGCTGGGCTAAAGCCAAGGCAAGACATCGCCCTTAATTCTGAACTGCCGCTGAGGGGCAGCCACGTTCCTCAGCTCTGCCGACCCAGATCGATGAGTTTTGTCAAGTTAAACGTGACATGCTTTTGCTGCAAAGGGGCTCAGAGATGATCCTACCTCGCAGCTCCCCTTCCTGCGGATCTTCCCGAGATGCGCGACGGGGGGTGGTCATCGCGCACTTGACGTAGCTGTTGTTTTGGGCCTGGCATGGCAAGGCAAAGGCCCATCATGAAAACTTGCGAAAGGAGAGCTTGGCAATGGCAACGTCGAAAGAGACTGAGCGTCCCACTTGGACCGTGCAGGTTGCTAATCCGACCGTGACGCTGGCAGTTCCAAGCATCTGTAGGGCCGGAATCGTGTCTGCAACGCTCAGCCGCCTTGGAGCTGCGCGATGGAATGCCCTACAATGCTGAAGATCAACGTGCGCAGCCAACTGCTCTTGTTTTTGTACTTAGGGCGGAGGCGCAACCCCTGCCCTTCCACGCACTGCTTCAAACTCCAACGATACGAAAGCCGACCCTAACTTCTGAAGCACAACTTGCACATGTAAGTAAGATCGCCTGATCAGCTCCCCTACTGGGCCCATAGCTGGTCACCTAGCAAATATACGGCCTCAAATGAACGCAGCCCCGATTGTAGCAATCCTACTCAAGCAGGGGCTCATCATTCTAGAGAGGCCTTGTTCAGACAAGACTCCGCCCTGCATCCTCTGCAGCCAACAAACCATTCAGCTTTGTCTGCCAGGCCGCGCAGGCTGCCTGCCCAGCAAAGTCACAGACCTCTACTGGTAGAATGGGGAACTGAAGTCTTACAAAAGGGCTTGATGTGAGCATCCAAATTCTGACGGGTTATGACTGAAGGTATGTAGTAGCATAAGTGATAGCACTCAGGACTCCTGAGCTGTTGAGGTCGGGAACTCTTGCATGCAAGAAGTCCCGCTCCTCAAAGTCCCCGTCTGCTGCCAAATACTCACCAAAAGAGAGCCCGTGGATTTCAATCTCGGAGTAGCCTCAGCTCATCAGTATCAGCACATACGAGTACTGATGCAATTGCGCATGCTGCTGAATCCAAGCGTAAGCTTGAATGGATGGAGAAGACTCACAGCCCCTCTACAAGATTCAGCAACGAGCAAAATGCATCTGTGTGAGACGGGCCTCACGTCTAAGGATCAGCAACAAAATCTCAATCAGCACTGCTCGGGCCCGAGCCAGCGTCAAAGATTACTGCCGGGGTGATGCTGGAGATCTGCGGCTGTGGGAGCGTCAGCTCTCCTTTCTTCAGCGCTCAGAAACCCATACTTACTGATCTTACTACATATGAAATGCACAGGTTGTTCTGCGGCAGAGAATTTCGCGCACAGCAATACCTCAACGCATTCTATCTGTAGCGAAATTATCCTGTGTGCCACTTCAAGAGTGGTCCACATGGTCCACTTGCTGCCCAGGCACGGAGCACGGCATCGGATCGAAGTTCTCCAAGTTGGAGGACGACTGTAGGATCCGAAGGGATGTTGCGAGCATCAAGGCATGGAGTGATGATGCACTTCCTGCAGGAGTAGCGGGATATCAATTGAAGGTTGCAAAGCCTAGCCAGGCACCACTTTCTCTCGCATGTCCCAAAAACGTCAACTTCAAGTGGCCCAAATGCTGCAGCCATGGAACAACTCGGTGGATGAGACATATTGGATGGAGGAGCCTTGCAACTCGTTACCAGGCAGGGCTATGATACAAGGCCTGCTACAAGGCCAGGCAGACACCCGGAGACCTTGCTGGGCTGGGCCCCAGCAGCAAGACTGCTAGGGCAGTGCAAGTTGCAAAGTGTAAGAAAGGAAAGTTGCAGTTTGGTGCTGAGCAAGCTGCAGAATGAGAGCTCTGGAGTGACACCTTGCAACCAGAGCTGATAGACTTTGGAGTCCACGTAGGTCAGGGAGATGGCATCGTCATCAAGGCTGGCCAGGCAGTCATGCAAATGTGTCAGAGGGCGGTAACAGCAAGCTGGGCCGCGCCCTGCCTCGGGAAGTTCCTCCCCTGAATGTAGAAGACCGGATCAGAGGTCATGACCTGACTCCGCGACAGCATTTCTTACCGCCACACGCAACTGTAATGATCTTCTGCCAAGACCTGCTCCACGATGACAGAATCGGATGCTGTTCCACTTGCATCTCTTGTGAATAGCCCGGTCACCGTCGGCGCCTGCCACAAGCCAAGCGAAGTGCTGTTCAACACCTGTGCTGTCACCTCTTTTGCCAAGGCACTTGGAAAGCGATCTGGCCGGTCATGTAGATGTCACTGGCAAGCTGCCACAGCGTGGACGTGAAATTCTTGACCTGCATTTCCTTAACTGAAGCGCTGTCTGGGGCGGCAGTGGGTCATGAAGCAAAAGTCTGCCGAGACCTGGCGAGACGGTACAATCAAGATACTCCAGGCCCAAGGCATGCCAAGGCTCAAGAACCAGGCTGCTGTCTGCCAGTGGCGTCAGAGTGAGATCGCAGGCCAGCTTCGTCCAGCCCTCGCTGAAGACCTGCCTGACTTTGAAAAGGCAGGTGAATGGGGCAACGGAAAACTTCTGCATGGACGCATGCGACGCAGCACTTAACAAAGCTTTCTACGTCTGACTCCACGTCCTCAATTGCTTTGCCAGGTGCGACTCGCAAAATCCTGGAGGTTCTTGGCTAGTCTCTCCAACCTTGCGGACGCTGAGGCGTATGTAGTCCCCAGGGTTACTGACCTTGGCTACAAACAGTGCTGAATACACCACTACCAAAAAAAGCCCATGCCCACTGCCCGCCTGTGCAGTGACATAGTCTGACGTCGGCACGTTTGAGAGATCCTGAGCTTGGAGCAGTGATCAAGTGATCCATCGCTCCGATCTTGCTTTTCGAGTTCTTGACATCCCCAAAGACTGAGCAGGCCATTCCAGCAAGGCTCAGTGTACAAACGCTTTGACACCCCGCTGGCAGTCAGTGTCAAAGAGAGAGGCGTCGGAGTGACCACCGGGGACTTGAAGGATATCTTATACTCCTCAGCAGCGATAGACATGCGCATACTGCAGAGCCCTTCAATCCTCCCGGTCCAGAGACGGCACCCCGGAATTGAGAAAGATTTGCGCGCTGCCAAGGGGCCATGTCAAAATCAACGCCACCTCGCAGTCAATGGGCTCAAGCTGACATGACAAATGCAAACCTCAAGGAGTTTGAGCCTGGAGTGCTTTAAGTGAATCTCACCACAACTTGCAACACAGCCGCTCATCTTCATCTTTACCTCAGGAAGAACTGGGTAGCAAGGAGTACAAGGAAAATGCTATGTAACCAGCTGCGCGGCGGGCAGCGATAAGCCTTGCCCCTCGATGATTGACATCATCACCCCCTGCCTGGGTGCCAGGGGTCGAATCCCTCCGATTTCAAACCTGCTCAACCAAAGACCTGATTGAAATCTACTTGAGGTGCTGAAGCAAAAGGCGGGTGATGATGTGAGTTGCATCAACACTTCCCACCGCATTTTCACCCCACTGCATCTTACGTCCATTCAGCATGTCTTTTTTTTTGCGCAAAGACCTGCAAAACCAATTTCGCTAACAAAGCCTCAAGCAGAGTGGGCCCAGG